GATAAAGATAGATGAAATAAAAAAAGATAAAAAAAAAACAATATGTTACAAAAACTAAAAAAAAAAGATAATTTATAATGATGGTATTTTCTATAAACAAGGATACAATAATAAAAAACAATAATGAAAAGAGAATAATCTAATCAGAAAAACTAAGCATCAAATTAATAAAAGAAACGCATTTGGAATGGTGTCATATTGGAATTAGACAAACATTAAACAGAATACACCCGCACTATACAGCTAATAATTTAATAAAAAATATAAAAAGAATATGCAAAAATTGTAAAATATGCATTAAAAATAAATTAAGAGGCCAAATAAACTACGGATTGATGTCACACTTAGGACCAGCAACTAAACCTTTTGAAATAATGTCGATTGATACAATTGGTGGATTTGGTGGTCAAAGATCAACAAAAAGATATTTTCATTTACTAGTCGATCATTTCACAAGATATGCATTTATTTTAACATCTAAAACGCAAAATGCAAACGACTTTATAAAACTAGTCAAAAATATACTAGAAACTGATAAGATAAATATGATAATTACAGATCAATATCCAGGAATTAATTCAAAAGAGTTTAAAAATTTTCTGACAGAACAATAAATAAAACTTATTAACAGCTTTAAATTCACCTTTTTAAAACGGCCTAAATGAAAGACTCAACCAGACAATAGTTAATAAAACAAGATGCAAAATTAACGAAATTAAGAAAAAGAAAGCTTGGATAACAATAGCAAGAGAGTGTGTAAACAAATATAACGTAACAGAACATTCAGTTACAGGTTTTACACCAAAATATTTACTGGATGGTACAGACACAAGTCTGTTACCCGAAGAATGAAAAGAAAATAAAAATGCAGAAGATTGGAAAAAAAAATGAGAACTAGCAGTACAAAGGACCATTAAATCACACGAACACAATACGCAACTCTTTGATAAAAATAGGAAAGAATTCGAATTCAAGAAAGGAGATCTAGTGTATGTAGAAAATGGCAACAAATTAAACAGGAGAAAACTAGACGAACTTAGGATTGGCCCATTTGAAATAGTAGAGAGATTGACAATGCGAAAATCAGTGACATAAATGATTTAAGTTTAACCAAAATATTAACAAAATTAATAGAAGTTTCTAAGAAAAAAGGAGGAGAGAAGGAAATAAATTTCAAAGATATTGCAGATAAATTGATTGTAGACAAATTTAACAGCAAAACATTTAATGCGCATCAACGGTTGCTTACATATGAAAAAGAATGTATAAAATTGCAGGTAGATAAAGAAGAAAATAAGATTGATATGTAAAGATTTTTTTTGGATGACACAAGTCAAAACTGGCATAATTCAATGATGTTGAAAGAAAGAGAAAGTCAATGGGATACATGGAAAGAAAATTTCATAAATACTTTGGGAAATAGAGGATGGAATAATAGAGCATATGTAACACCTACGTCTATTTTTTTTAATAATTGTATAGTAGTGTTGAGTATTGTATAAAACAACTTTTTCTGTAAAACTGCAAACTAGTTGGATACTTGAATTTAAATATGTACTCACCATAAATCCAAGTTTTTTATAAAAAAATCTTAAAAACGTATTCGACTATTAGTTTATTGAAAATATTAAATAACTTGGCGAGTGATAAGCCAAATTAGGATGTCTGTTAGTCAATGAGCACTGTTATTTTAATAAACAAAGCTAATAGAAATGTAAATCGAATAAAAAATCAAATATATTAATGAACATACTGATATAAGCATTCATTTACAACTACANATCAATATCCAGGAATTAATTCAAAAGAGTTTAAAAATTTTCTGACAGAACAATAAATAAAACTTATTAACAGCTTTAAATTCACCTTTTTAAAACGGCCTAAATGAAAGACTCAACCAGACAATAGTTAATAAAACAAGATGCAAAATTAACGAAATTAAGAAAAAGAAAGCTTGGATAACAATAGCAAGAGAGTGTGTAAACAAATATAACGTAACAGAACATTCAGTTACAGGTTTTACACCAAAATATTTACTGGATGGTACAGACACAAGTCTGTTACCCGAAGAATGAAAAGAAAATAAAAATGCAGAAGATTGGAAAAAAAAATGAGAACTAGCAGTACAAAGGACCATTAAATCACACGAACACAATACGCAACTCTTTGATAAAAATAGGAAAGAATTCGAATTCAAGAAAGGAGATCTAGTGTATGTAGAAAATGGCAACAAATTAAACAGGAGAAAACTAGACGAACTTAGGATTGGCCCATTTGAAATAGTAGAAAAAATATCAGATTCAATATATAAAATTAAAACTGGAAGAAGAAACGAAGAAAAAGGATTATTCCATAAAACAAAATTAATACCAGTAGAAGATACAACAATTGATGAAAATTTTTGATATAATTTTCACGGTGGGAAGGGTAGATGTAAAGAAAGAAGGCTTTCTTTATTTGAATTTGCCAAGCGCTACACACTACGCATGTCTCCTTCAATTAACTCTCACTACATGGAATATGAATAGACGGATAGGATGATAAGCAAATTTTGAGAGAGTAAACAAATTAAGAAAACAAGTTGGAAGAACTACAGTACTTGAAAAAGAGAGTGACTAAGTTTTAAAGAATGAGTGTGTTAATAGTGAGAAAGGATAATAAACTTTAATTGTCATTTCTTTATTTTACAGGTCACTTTGTAATTATTGTAAATAGTCATTGTAATTAGTAATAAACAACTTTATTTTACAGAGTAACAAAACTTTTTATTATTGAAGAAAAATTAACACATTTATATGTATCTTACACTTACCTTGTTCTGCTACTGCACGACGAGGTTAATGCTTCTCTTAAATTTGAGTTACTTATGAAATCCAAAACGATAAAAAGCTTTTTTTTTTTAGCTTTGGAGCCCACGAATATTAATGGTTTGCTACCGTTTAGGGTATTATTTTCCTGATTATAAATTATTAAAATAAGTTCTTTTTATTTAATTAAATCGTTTTATATAAATTTGATTCTGAAATGTTGCGTGCAGCTCCGATCTTAAAACTTTGCGCCTGATAGTAGCACCTACCGCCCACTAGCTAGCAACTACTAGTTTCTACCAAACATTGCAAGTAAAAAGGTAGTTTATAGTATATAAGAAGGGCTGCCCGACGTCTTGCATTAATCCACCCGGATCACCCGATCTATACCAATGCTAGGTTCTCGCTCACCGAGACCTACGCTACAGCAGTGGCTCGAGTACCTATTATTTGGAATAAAATACCTATCTTTAATACCACGTTAATCAAAGTGTTTTAACTTTAATTTTACCCAATCTCGCCATCCTTGTCTGCACAACGGGGTGTTGGTGTCCACCTACTATGAAAATCTTACCAATATACTGGTAACTAGCATTCTTGAACTGCTGCTAGTTACTACTCTACCACCCCCAAGTGGCAACAGCTCCAGTGGTAAAAAAGGATTCCAGCGAAAGTTCTCTACATCTCCACGTCCAGAGTCTCTAGCACAGAATTTTTACTACTGCTCTATCCTGATAGCCAAATCACCCATCAGCGATACCAGCTCCATCGGTGACATCGGGTTCAAACAGAAGCTTTGCCAAACTACGCCTAGAGTCTCTGAACATGGCGATGTGCACCACCTTACCACACATAGAGTCTCTAGCACAAGGTGCCTATTGCTGCTCAATCTTGACCACTGATCGATATCCTTGAAGATGACTTCAGCAACCCTCAACTCTCCCGCTCTGTTCAAGGCCGCCTACCCCCCCAAATGGCCGCTTATAACAGTTCTTATGTCTAAAGGGCTGACACATTTACCACTAAACGTTTAAATCTCTTTAATTTATTATATATGAAGTCAAAATATTGTCTCGGTAATAACACAACTTATAACAAATAGTTGTGCTAAAAATTAATGAATCCAATAAATAGCATAAACTAGCATGGTGACGTCATTAAGTGTTATTAAAAGATAATCACCATAATTATAATCTCTGCTATTAGTCATCTGATTCCAATGAATTATAATTTTGTTTTATAATGCTAAGTAGTAATTATGTTTTCAGTACAACATTTTCAGTCGATCCTGACACTCACATTGACAGCTTGGATCAGGCTGAGCAAATGGTCCTCGAAGGTACCAGCAAATGGTCCTGCAAAATAGCTATAACAGGTAAGCGATTATTTTTTCATTTTATGTTGAAAGTTCAAAAAGCATATGTAGTTATTAGAAAGTAACTGTTAACTTTAATAGTCGTATAATTTAATAAAATACAATTTAGTTACAAATGTTTGTATAGGTATTATTTTTCTCAGAAAATTGATATTTTGACTTACAGAAATATACGACAGTATTAACTTTCATAAAATGGTTAATAATTTCTACATACCGTTGTTAAATTTATGTTATTGGGTCACTTAATTGTTTTTTTTTTTTTTTTTTAAGGGGATTTCTTTTTAAAAAGAATAAAATAAATAATTCCGAAATAAAAAGACTTCCAAAAAACTCAAAAAACTTCATTTAATTTGGTAGAAAAGGCTTATAAAAAAGCGTACTTTATTACAGCTTTCTTTTTTAAAACAAAGTCAAGCACCATTGATTTTTATATATTTAGTATAATTATACTTCAACGACAAAACTTAGAAAGTAACGTTTAACTATACCACTCGGAAATTTTAATTTGTCAAGTTTTTTCTACTTCACAAGCTTTCTATACGTTTTCATTCCAGTTTTCAAAGAAACTTTTCAACGCGTTTAATTTTTAATGCTCACGTAACCTTCTAATCATCGATAAATATGTGCTAATAAGGTGCGTACGTAGAAATTAAGATCTTTTTTTCTCTTTGCTGTAATTATTACTATGTTTGTCTTAAGGCGTGCAAGTAAACAGAAGCTTTAATCTAGCTTGGGAGCTGGTAACTTTATCGAAGTTCTCACATGCTCAAGTCTGCTAAAAACTATGTCATTTCATAATCATAAGGTATTCAGAAATCACACTATAAATCGATGTAAAATATATTTGTTGTGCTTGAAAAAGAGTGAGAGAATGTTTTGCAGGGTAATGTACGATAAAAAGTAAAAATAGTGTTGGTGTGACATGATTGTTATGACGATAAAGTCTCTCATGTGACAGAAATGGTTTGCAATATTCGGGATAATGAATTAATGAGGGAAGAGGTCACTTTTTTCTTTTTATTTTTGGCAAGTTTATATCAATCAAGGACAGAATGCGAGCAGCTGCAGGTATTGACAGATGTGAGTGTTGTGTATGCATGGTTGTTATATACATGGAAAAACTAAATTTACCTACAAATGCGGTAATAAAAAAAAAATAAAAACATCAAAGGTAAGTCAAATAAATAAGACAAAGACATTTAAAATGTAATATTAAAGAAAAAATGGAACAAATTTGTTCTTTAATAGCTCAAGGCATCAGTTATAAGTGTTATTGAAAAAAAACTTCTTCAATACAATTTGGGGAGATTTAGGCTATTTCTCCAGTAACAAAAAAAATTGAAGCATTGCACGATTATTAAAGAATAAATAAAAAAACAGCGAAGAAAGAGAGAATAATTTAAGTTTAGTAAAAGAAAATATCATTGTGTTATCACAAGTAAGTAAAAGCCGTTAAAGGTTAGTTTACCAAGCAAGCAGCATAAAAGTAAAATTTAAGTACCTGTAGAGGCAGATCTTACATAAACAAGAGTCTTGGATTCAGTCATAGACAGTTGTTAGGAATTACAATAGCTTCCAAGATGGAAACAAGAATTTGTAAGATATGCGAACAAAATTTGAGAAAAAAAAGTCTCAAATATAAGTCGTACTCTTCATAAATTCTTTGAAGCCAAAAGTCTTAAGTTTGTAAATTAAAACAACATTTAAACATACTCTGAATATGAAGTTAAGAGTAAGAATTTGCCAGAATATATGCGATTCATTCATTGTCAGTTGGGGTTGGATAGGTGGCTGTTTTTTTAAGTGAATTTTTGTTCCATATTTGACATTGTTACGAATAAACTTTGTAAGAAAATATGTTTTTTTTTGTTCTTAAAATGATACGCAGATGTCTTTGCCGGTATCTCGACGCGGTGACTGAAGTGGGCAGTGGAATCACCGTGGTTGACCCATCATCGAGCATAAAATTTAAACAAGAGATAGAACTTGGAACAGTGAAGCTAGGCTTTCCAGTAGGTGATAGCGGGCAGGACGCTTGTTTGATTTTTTAAACAGTTGCTAGAAAACTAGCATTTTTTGTATTTTACTAACTTTTTTTTTCCTCCTTGGATACGAAGAGAAAAAAGAAACCTGAAGTTCAGTTCGCTTTGTAATTTCAAACGATTAACAATTAAAAAGTTTATGACACTCAATAAACATTATACCTTTTTTTAAGAGTTACGGCTTTTTTCTTCGGCGCAGGACATATAGTTGGAAACAGACATGATTTTATGATTTAACATAGAGTGGATGAAAAATCAGAAGTCATTTATAACCATGTTTTTCTTATCTGTAGACCTCTTAATAATAATCAGTTTCTAGAAAATGGATCTATGGCCACTAATTTAAAGCTTGCCAAGATTATTACAGGCATGATGTACTGTTATTATTCGTATCTTTGTATATAGCGTGAAGATTTTCAAATAAATTCGAATGGCTGTGGTGCTTCAAAGCATACAGATAACTGTTTTCGTAGCATAGATAGCAGATTTTTTCACGGGACACTTCTGAATAATAACATGGATTTTGAAAATTTCATAAGTACACCTTTATTCACAATAGCATGTAGTGAGAGAGTATTGGATGTCATAGCGCTACTTAACTATATCTATTGTTGGGACCAGTGCAATACCCTAGCATCAAATTTGATTTCAAAGAGTAAAAATGAATCATTAGCGTTGGCAAAGGCTTGCAATGTCAATCGACAAAACATTTATAGATCGCCAACACTTGCTAGAAATGCTTGCAAAATATTGCTGAACATTACTAATAGACTAGATGCAATGAAGAATATTAAACATGTCAAGTACGTTGATACGTATAGAAAATTTTAAAAAGTTTTGGTAGGATGTTTTTCTACGAAATTTAATTCCAATTTTCAAACTGATATTTAATATTTTTCGTGTATCAGAGTTTTAAAACACTAAAAATAAAGCAGCGTTTACTTAGATTTGTCTTTTAATAAATTTGTAATAACATTATGTTTCTCTTTCTGAGAGCGACTGTTTTACTTTGCTCGATTGTCATTGTGATGTTTTTAGAATAGCTCTTGCGACTGATGGCTTGACCTATTACACCATTACATTGTTTGCATTTATTCTAAAATGTTCTGTTTACAAGTATCCTTGTCTTATTCATATAATTCATCTTTAATTTTCGTGGACCAACTTTTTTTTAATTTCTTACTTTTGTAAGTCAATTCTATACTCATACAAACGTCCCTGATCAGCATCCATCGACAACAATTACATTTGTCAGTACCTGTGGATGTTTGCATTACTTCTTTGATTGTCGTCAATTGGCTAGAAATAGGAGAAAAAAATATGACTCTGTTCTTTATCGATTCATACAATCAAAGATCAGAAGCTTTATAAATCACATTCTTTCAAGAATCGGCGAAAAAAATCGAAATGCGTTATGGAACATTTAAATAATGTTGCCTTTGGTACTTAATTCCATATGAATAAAAAAAAAGTGGTTTTATTGTAAAATAATTTTTTAAATTTATTCTACCAATACCAAAAGAAGGTTTATGAGTTCTTATTAAAAATAAAGTTAACTTATTATCAAAAAAAGCATAGAATAGCAAATAAGCTTTACTTGTTAATTTGTACAGTTAAAGTCAAGTTTATTAAATGAGTTTTTAAAAAAATATCAGAATTGTATAATCAAGTCCAAATATTGTGATTTAACTACAATGTTATTTAATATCGTTAATCATTATCCAACATCTTCTCATCATGTTAATTTGATCTTCATTTTGTAGTAGGGGGCAAAGACACACTAATACATATTTAAACACGTAAAAACTGAATAATTATCAGAAGTTTTTGTTCAATTTAATTATAGTGTTTCTTGTCTAACTCACGTATACTAAGAAAAAGAATTGAGAGATATACCATTTAGTCTACAACACATGGCAATTTTTTTATGTATGTGTGATATGTAATATTAATAAGCTTATCTTCTGTAAAATTGCAAATATAAAATATTAAAACATGTAGGTGTTCGATAACATTATTGAGCTACATCTACATGAAATAAGCTATTTTTTATCTCTTTTCTTATTTTTTTACATAAAATTTACATACTGTATTTTAGTAATCTCTGTATGATACTTATTTATAAAAAATATGCATTACTTCTTGCTAGCTAAATTAATAAAATACTTACGATCTTGATATTCAGAAGGAAAAAAACATCAGACATTATAATTAAAGTAAGTACAAACTATAAGTCTTTTTTTTTCAAAGAACTGAAAAAATTTTTTCTGTCCACAAAAAAACATAACAAAATTATTTTTATGAATTACCCCCGTAATGTACAATATAATGTAAATACAGGTATGTATAAGTATTCCGTGTTCTAGTTTAATTCTTTTTGTTAAATTATATGACTCATTCATTTATTAATTTATTTATTTATTAATTTGACGAGAGAATAGAGTACCCAATCATAGAAATTATATTTGAATTGTAATCCTGCATAAGTAACGTGTTCAGATGTTTGCACAACGGTAAAAAGTAATATATAAACGTAATATATAAACAAAACAAAATTTTAATCACTAATTTTCATAAACAAATTCTCATTCTCATTACACTTATTACAAGATAACATTTTTAAATCGTATCATTTTTTGCAAATAAAAACTAAATGTTATGTTTATTAAACGTTGTTGTCTTCAGTTTTTTATTTCTGACTTTTTTTCTCTATATGAAATTAGTATTTACATACATGTAATCGTTACTTTTTAGTTATAAAATTTACCTTCGTTATAGAGCAATACTTTATCGTAACCACTTTCTTAGTGCATCATTACTTTTATGGTTTTATTTTATTGTTATATGATTTAAAGGTAACTTATTGTACAGTTTGAAAATTGTAAAGAAATGAGCTTAAATGCTAAATGTCTTTCACAGTTTTGGTACTCACACAAATTTTTCTGGTTATATTTT